TGTCAGAAGCACTGCTCTAGAGGTGCAGAAAGCACCGAGATTGAGCTCTCCTGTGCCAGGGTTTGTGTTGGGATTAATTTAAGGGCTGGTGTGTGGGGGGCGAAGCAGGACCCCTGTTGCCAGCAGCCCCCCACGCTGCAGGAAGGCTGCGCAGTGTGATGGGCGTATCTTGCGGTGGGGATCGGATCTGGGTGAGGGTGCTTGGGGCCATCAGCCTTGGCACCTGGCTGACAGAAGCTGCTGTGACACTACATTTGCTCCTGAGATTTCAGGAGCGGCACAAGACTGCTTGGAGGGGATGCACAGGCAGGGGGAGCAGCCAGTGGCTGAGATGGCCAACCCAGGGCTCTCCATGCAGATGCTTTGCTGGCAGAACTGGAGCAGAGCTCCCGCCCGGCCTCCAAGGACCACGCACTGCAGGCACCAAGCTCCTGCAAAAAGGATCTGGGCACAGCTGGGCTCCCAGCCCCCCATGGCCGTGAGCCACTTGCCTCAGCGGCCCTGAAGGTAACGCCTCAACATGATGGGTCTAGTGGCTGAGACCCTGCTCAGCTTGTGACAGAGGTGGTGGTGCCAGGCAGGCACTGACGGGTGCCAGGCAGGCACTGACGGGTGCCAGGGGAGCATCCTGCAGGCTCGGCCACCACGGTTTGTCCTTACAGGTGCAGCTACCGCCTCGGGCTCAGCCTCCAGGAGGGGCTCTGAAGACAGTGTACAGGTAAAACAAGTCCATAGGAGGGGAAGGTCATCTGGGGCTACTCTTTCCATCGCTTGGATGTGACCTCTGGGGTCACCTGGCCTCCTGCACGTCCCCCCCAAAAAACAGGTCCTTCTGTGAGTCAGGGGTTGTACCCTTCATCCCTGCAGCACTGCTGGGGTGAGGGCTGGGCTTCCAGCAGCCATGTGGCCACCCCCCACCAGCATGTCACCAGGAGTCTCCCCTGTCCCCTTCTGTGGGTATAGGGCAGCATCTTGCAGGGGTGGAGGGTTCTCAATCCTGGGTACCCTCTGGCCTTGAGGTGGAAACCACAGTATCCTTCACTATACTGTCCCCAGCAGCCCCACACCGGTCCCACAGCTGCAGCTCCCGTTGCCACCACCCACAGCAGATGCCCAGCAGCTGGATGATCTCCTGGCTGACCTGGGCCACAGGCAGAGCAAGGTGAGCCTTGTCCATGGGGGAAAGGAGGTTGGGGGCCTGGCCCTCACCCAGCCCTCACCATCCATCCTCCTTCCTGGCAGCTAGTGGCTGCGGGACAGGGAGCCAGGGTGCCAGGGGAGCCCTCGCCCTCGCTGGACAACATGCTGGGCAGCCTCACCCGGGACCTGCAGGAGCTGGGCATCACAGCCACTCCCGCTGGCATCTGCGCTGCCTGCTGCAAGCCTATTGCCGGCAAGGTGAGCCCCCATCTTGTTGCCCCCATCCTCTTGCCCCTCTCCCCTTGCCTCACAGCATCCTCTGGAATTGCTCTCACTGTCCCCTGCCTCCTTGCAGGTGTTCACAGCCCTGGGCAAAACCTGGCACCCCGAGCACTTCACCTGCACCCAGTGTGGGCAGGAGCTGGGTGGCCAGCCCTTCTTTGAGCGGGGTGGGCAAGCATACTGTGAGGAAGACTACCACCAGGCCTTCTCCCCCCGCTGTGCCTACTGTGCTGGCCCCATCTGCGAGGTAAGACCCTTGGCTTCCCATGTCACCCCCTGCCACCACCGGCCACCTCACCTCACCTCTTCCTGCAGAAAGTCCTCACGGCCTTGGACCAGACCTGGCACCCCGAGCACTTCTTCTGTGCGTACTGTGGGAAGGTGTTTGGAGATGACGGTCAGTCCCAGGGGACAGGTGTGGGTGTCCTTGCCCCCACTCTGGGTATTCCCTCTCCCCATAGCCCTGCCCTTGCACCCATTGCCCCATCTGACACTTCCCCATGGCTTTTCCCTTGCTTCCCATCCTGGGCACCCCTATGGTCAGCCCTCAGTGCCAGCCTTGCCCCAGGGAGTGCCCATCCCGATACCCTCCCTGCAGGTTT